TATCGTATAACGCTAGGTACAGACATTTGATTCCGCCGCGGTGCGAAGTAATAAGGTTTATTCCTACATCATTTTCTAGCGATTGCGTTGTTTTATCAAAATAGATTCAGCAAGGAGTTTTCGTAGCTGGATTAATTGCGAAACCAAATAATGGTCGCATTCCCGTGAGAATATTAAATACTACAAGTAATGAAGTAGAATATGATTTTCAAAATATAACTATTTATGACTTGAATTATTTTGACGTATGTTGTATTTCGGAAGAACAGAATAGTGTGAGTAGAGTAAAATTATTGTTTGAGTTATTGAATTTGTCAAATATGAATCAGGAGGAAAGACGTAGTATCGAACATATTTGTGCGAAATACGCAGATGTTTTTCATCTTCCAGGAGATAAATTATCGACTACCAATGTTATGACTCATAGCATATCCTTAAAGGATAATGTCTCTCCTTGTTATATAAAGCCCTATAGAATACCTCATTCGCTAAAGCAAGAGGTACAAAGACAAATTGATGATATGTTAGCCAACGATATAATAGAGGAAACAATTTCGGAATGGTCCAGTCCAGTTCTTTTAGTTCCAAAAAAAACAGATAGGTCAAACGAAAAGAAATGGAGCTTAGTTATTGATTATAGGCAACTTAATAACAGAATAAAAGATGATAAATTCCCTTTGCCAAATATAACCGATATTTTAGATTCCTTATCAGGTAGTATTTATTTTTCAAAACTAGACTTATCACAAAGTTATTACCAATTATGCTTAGACGAAAACTCAAGAAAATATACTGCATTTAGTGTAGATAAAATGTACCAACTTGAATTGGACCCAGAATCCCGAAAATATACAGCCTTTACAACTGATAAAATGTATCAGATGAAGCGTTCTCCTATGGGATTAAAAACATCTCCTAGTGTTTTCTCGCGATTAATGACAATTGCTATGTCAGGTATCAATTCTAATCAAGCTTTTATTTATTTAGATGATTGCGTCGTTATTGGAAATTGCATAGATAATCACAATAAAAACCTAGTAACTGTATTAGAACGTTTACGAAAAGTCAATTTAAAATTAAATCCAATGAAATGCGATTTTTTACAAACCGAAATTATTTATTTAGGACACAAAATAACGTCGCAAGGTATTTTTCCCGACGATAGCAAAATAGAGACATTGCGCAAGTATCCGGTTCCCTCGAACGCGGACGACGTAAAACGATACCTAGCCTTTGCTAATTATTATAGGAGATTTATACCTAATTTTGCAAATATAGCTTTTCCGTTAAATAAATTATGCAAAAAAGATGTTTTATTTGAGTGGACAACCGAATGCGAAAAATCATTTCAACAATTAAAATCCCTTTTGATGTCCCCACCCGTATTACAGTATCCAGATTTTTCGGAAAATAATATTTTTGAGTTACGTACAGACGCATGTAAAACAGGATTAGGCGCCGTTTTGTCAAACAAAAATGGTCATGTTGTCGCTTACGCAAGTCGTAATTTATCGCCAGCCGAAAGCAGATATCCTATAATCGATTTAGAATTGCTCGCTATAGTATGGGCTGTAAGGCATTTTAGACCGTATCTGTACGGTAGAAGGTTTAAAATCCTTACAGACCACAAACCGCTCGTATATTTATTTAGTTTAAAAGATCCGTCCAGTAGACTAACTAAGTTTAGGCTCTACCTCGAAGAGTATGATTTTGAGATCGTGTATATCCCGGGTCGAAATAATGCAGCTGCAGACGCATTAAGTCGACTTCCGATTACGATGACGTGTAAGGAATTAAAATCACTTAATGAACAAGTTGTATCGGTACTTACTCGAGCACAAAGTAAAAAGCTAGAGTCTAAAGAACCGGTCAATAAAAATAATTTGACTGAAGAGTTATCTACCAGTAGCAGGCCTGATCAACCTCAGATTGTAGAGATTCTTAAAAAACCCAAGGACGTGACAGAGTTAGTTTTCACTAGTGAAAAAATAAATAAGAACACGGATTGTCTTTTCTCTGATAAGAAATTTTGTATTTATGTGCCTTCACAGTATACTATATATCTAGATACTCGATCGTTATCTACCCCACAGGTGTTAGCGAGAGATTTAGGATCTTTTTGTGAAAAACAAAATATTAATGAGATTTTAATCATTAAAACTAAGCAAAATGCAACTAATATAAAAATACTTGCAAGTTATATGAAAAAGTTGCATCAGAAGGTACCAAAAATTTTAATTACTAGAGATGTGATAAGAATAAGTAGCTACGAGGATAAGAAAATTATACTTAACGATTTTCATATGTTGCCCACTAGCGGTCATGCAGGGGTAAACAGAATGTTGAATAATTTAAAACAATACTATTATTGGCCAGGAATGACTAATGACGTCATAGAATACGTCAAAAAATGTAGTCACTGTCAATTTAATAAATTTTCAAATCATAGTATTAAGGAGCCAATGGTTATCACAAATACTGCAAGCTCTGCATTTGAAAGGATAGCTTTAGATATCATGGGTCCATTGCCAGTTGATATTAATAATAACAAATACATTTTAACGCTGCAATGCGATTTATCTAAATTTGTAGAAGCGTATCCTTTGCCCAGTAAAGATTCCGAATCTGTAGCACGAGTTTTTGTAACCAATTTTATTTTAAGATATGGAATCCCTAAGGAAATCATTAGTGATAGAGGCACAGAATTTATGTCTAATATTATGACTGACATTTGCAAAATATTACATATAAAAAAATTAAATTCAACGGCTTATCACCACGAAACAATAGGTTCTCTAGAAAATAGTCATAAGTCATTAGGAGCATATCTGCGAATACAGTGTGATAGGAACACTTTAGACTGGAGCGACTGGTTAGCATTTTGGACATTTTCTTATAATACTACGGTACATACACTAACAAAATACACTCCATTCGAATTAGTGTTTGGAAAACTTTGTAAACTGCCTTCAGACTTTGGAATGTCAATAGAACCATTGTATAATTATAATGATTACCCTAAAGAGATGAAGTATCGATTACAGAGAGCACAGTACGATGCAAAAAATAATTTATTTTCTAGTAAGTTGAAAAGAAAATTATTGTATGACAAATGTACTTATCCTATTACATATAAAAAAGGTGACCTTATTTTAGTGAAAAATCAAACAGGAGATAAACTCCAAAACATTTATAATGGTCCATTTGTAGTTATTGAAGAAGTGTCACCCAATGTAAAAATCTTGAAGGATAATAAGGAATATCTTATACATAAGAATAATACGAAATTGTATTACACTTAAAAATAATAATTATAACTAGATTAATTTTATAACTAAACTTATGTTACTATAATTTTAAGTACTATGGAATTAGCCTTATCATATACTTAACATACATTATGCAACATGACTTAATTATTCTATCTAATTTTATTTTTTTCCTTTGAAAGGGAAGGGTGAACAGGACTTTTTCCAGGGAGTTGTAGTGTATACCTATCGGAAACGTAATTAGGTCATGTCGCAATCCGCTATTTACGTAGATAGTTTTAGCAAGTAAGCAATATTATTAATTCAATTATTTTGTAATGTTTTATTTCACTCAATAAACGGACTTCAAACTATAAACTATGTTTCCTTAAATAACCAACGATAGGCTAATATTAGAACTATTAGAAAAGCTTCGCTCGAAAATTAGATAACTGTAAAAGAAATTTTACACAAAAAATAATAACTAGTTATTATACTATGCTATATATATATTTTTTAAATGCTTATTAAATTTCCACACTAGACGTCTTTAGTGGTGATAAAAAAATATTTATAAAATTTATGGCTTGTTTCGAGGGCTTTTCGTTTCTGTGAAACACAAGTTATCGATGAAAGGAAGACATAGGAGCATCATCATCATCATCAGCCTATTAATGTCCCCACCTCTGGGGCACAGGCCTTCCCCATGGATGGAATAGGGAGATTGGACCATGACCCACCACGCGGGCCCAGTGCGGATTGGTGGGTGCTAACGACTGCAGATGCAGCAGGGACCAACGGCTTAACGTGCCTTCCGAAGCACGGAGGAGCTCGTGATAGTAAATTTTCGGTCACCCATCCAATGACCGACCACTGCGAAAGTTGCTTAAGTTCAACGATCGCAGCCGAACGCGCTAACCACTTGCGCCATCGAGCTCCTCCATAGGAGCATAGAATGAGCAAAATTATATTTTATATAAGAAAATCAATTCTTTAGTGATAAAAATCAAGGAGGTATCTGTCGAGAAAGTTTGTATGGAAAAAAACATAGCGCGCCTCCCCTCATAATAAGTAAACTTAATAAAGATGCGAGCGGGCACTGACAGACTCGCGCGTAGCTGCGCTTGTTGCTAACTTCCCAACCACCATAAAGTTCGCACTGTACGACTGTACGTATAACCAAGCCGCACAGTGCGACTAAATTTCGGACCCTAAACCACCTAAACAGTCTCAATGGTCGCAAGATAGGTTTTAAACTAAATTGTGACAAGCTAGCTTCTAATATATTCATCATCATCATCATCAACAGCCCATCTTAGTCCACTGCTGGGCATAGGCCTCTCCAAATGCACGCCACTCAGATCGATCTTGGGCTACTCGCATCCAGCTCCTGCCAGCCACCTTGCGCAAATCGTCACTCCATCGTGCCTGGGAACGTCCTACACTACGTTTACCTAGACGCGGTCTCCACTCCAGAACTCGTCTACCCCAACGGTTATCGGTTCTTCGGCAAATATGGCCAGCCCACTGCCACTTGAGCTTGCTAATCCGGTGGGCTATGTCGATTTCTCTGGTTCTTTGTACTAGTAATAGTAGTTAATATACTTATTCGAAAATCAATCATTGCGCGGCCTTTCTCTTTTCATTGTAAAAAGTCAGTTACTGTACTTGTTATCAGACGGAGCACCGCACTTGCTGCGCGTGCGGCGAGGCGATCGCGGACCGCTTCCTGCTGGAGGTGGGGGGCGGCGCATGGCACACCGGCTGTCTGCGCTGCTGCGTCTGTGCCGTCCAACTCGACCGGCATCCCTCGTGCTTCCTGCGCGACCGCCAGGTCTATTGCAAGCAGGACTACGCCAAGTGAGTCCTTTCAACTTACCTGTTATTGTGCTAAAGATAACCGCGGTCCACGTTGTGTGTGTTCAGCTACACGCGACCTGTTCCTTGAGCAAGGTCTACTGCATGCAGGACTACGCCAAGTGAGTCCACTTTACATAAGTACCTACCTGTTATTGTGCTAAAGGTAACCGGGGTCTACGCTGTTGAGTGTCTTCAGTTAGATCGCTTGTCCTCTTCCTCGAACAAGGTCTGCTGCAAGCAGGACTCCGCCCAGTATCTATCTACATACCTGTTATTGTGCTAAAGGTAACCGCGGTCCACGTTGTGTGTGTTCAGCTACACGCGACCTGTTCCTTGAGCAAGGTCTACTGCATGCAGTTCTACACCAAGTGAGTCCACCTTACATAGGTACCTGTTATTGTGCTAAAGGTAACCGGGGTCTACGCTGTTGAGTGTCTTCAGTTAGATCGCTTGTCCTCTTCCTCGAACAAGGTCTGCTGCAAGCAGGACTCCGCCCAGTATCTATCTACATACCTGTTATTGTGCTAAAGGTAACCGCGGTCCACGTTGTGTGTGTTCAGCTACACGCGACCTGTTCCTTGAGCAAGGTCTACTGCATGCAGTTCTACACCAAGTGAGTCCACCTTACATAGGTACCTGTTATTGTGCTAAAGGTAACCGGGGTCTACGCTGTTGAGTGTCTTCAGTTAGATCGCTCGTCCTCTTCCTTGAACAAGGTCTGCTGCAAGCAGGACTCCGCCAAGTAAGTCTATCTACATACCTGTTATTGTGCTAAAGGTAACCGCGGTCTACGATGTTGTGTGTGTTCATCTAGGTCGCGCGACCTGTTCCTTGAGCAAGGTCTACTGCATGCAGGACTACGCCAAGTGTGTCCACCTTACATAAGTACCTACCTGTTATTGTGCTAAAGGTAACCGCGGTCTACGCTGTTGCGTGTGTTCGATTAGATCGCGCGTCCTCTTCATGAACAAGGTCTGCTGCAAGCAGGACTCCGCTAAGTAAGTCTATCTACATACCTGTTATTGTGCTGAAGGCCGAGACCACTACTGCTCCCTCCGCCGCCAGGTACTGTGCCGCAAGCAGGACTACGCCAAGTGAGTAATCTACATAAGTGCTATTGTGCAGCGATCTCCGCTGCAGCACTGTTGCGTAAACATCGTTCAAGCTAAGCCGCCACTGCTGCAAGCAAGACTACGAAAACTGTATCTATGCAAATTCTTATCAATGTGCTGGAGGCATCGATGCATTGGATGGATCGTGTTGTGTAACTAAATCAGCCCCTCTTGCTTCCTGACCACCATGTTAACGCTTGACAACGACGCGTCTACACTACAGAGTATATAATTTGTAATTAAAACATTAGACAAAATCAATTTGGCTAAATGTAAGCACAAAATTGCTGTGTGCGCTGCGCTATACAATACTATTCCTATTTCAAATTTTGTCGTCATGTCTATCACGGACAAAGTATCGCAGCTCTTCACTCTTATTGGACATTAATCATTTTAAAGATCGATTTTTATTTTTAGCATCTACACCTACCGGAATCCTCTAAGGTTGTATATTAACTCGGTTTAAAAATGTGTCCGCAACAGACCATCCCATGTAGCCAACAGTTGCTGTAATGGTTAGATAGAGCACTTTGAAAATTACAGCCGTCTATAGTTCTCACTATAAACGAATGTGAATGAATACCATTACGCTCTTTTAGAACAAGAATATTTTATATACATATACGCATTTATTATATCTAACTACTCTTAATATAATTTATGAACATTTATAAGATTTGACATGTGTGGTTTGTAACGTGAAAAGCATTCGAAATATTCAATGGCATTCCACCATATCACAGAGAAACATTTGGCCGGACCGCACGTTAATTCCTTCACAATACACTGCCTACGTCCAATTAACCTTCGACGTATTAGAAATATCCATCGTCATCATTTTCCGAGTCATCCGTGAAGGTATAAACCGGCCGGAATGGAGAGGTGTTATATGTGTTCGTTTCGTGTAGGGAGGTAAGGCGTACCCGCCGCGGGTGGGTTATGCGGGTAGGCGGGCTGACCTCTGACCTCGCCGTGTGCGGCCGTTTCGCTCACACACGCGCGCGCGCACCCACCGCACGTCAATACTCTCGCTTGTGTCCACACCGCACCGGTGTATAGCTCCACCCTAAAACATCGAGATGGTTAAACTCTGGATGCTTGATGACGTTTTCCTTGTACCAGATGAACACATGATCACCGAATCAAAGCCCCAATATGAATGTGCTTGCTAAAACCGATATTAACATCTATCAGTCCTCACCATGAAGATGCCGTTATTCAACACGCTGTGTACTAAAGCGATTTACATAAAAACTACTAGGGCAGGGAAATGGATCTACTTCCTGCGCGACAGGTGGGTGAGAACTCATTCTGGAGTCAAAATAGATAAAAAAAGGGCCACGAGTGTCCCGAGAAGTGGGTTTATTGAAAATCCGTCGGTCAAGTGCGACAGACAAAGAAAGAGCGACGTGTTGCGTGCGGCTAAAAAATACAGCTCCGTGACTTGCAATAGTGACGTTTTCATTTGTCATTTATTTTGATTGTGATAACTGGCTGGCTGCGACGGCCGCGGCCGGGCCGGCGCGGTGGTGCCGGAATGCCACAACGGTGACCGGACCACCGGCCCGGCCTGACCTTCATCAGCCTTTGTTCTCCACTCACCATCGGAATCCACATATCATCGATCTTATTGTTAATTTTTCTAATCGGAATGTGCGTTCTTCTCGGTCGATAACGCACGCATTGATCCCGGTTCTTTAGTCACTATCATATCTCATCTTGTTTACTTGTGTTAGTTAAAGTTTTTTTCTTATTTTTCATTGACACACAAATATTCTTAAACTTCCCTTTATGTAGTAGTTTCAGTGTGAAATTTCATGTCGCGATTTGAAGAAGGCCGTGGACAACATTTGTATACCTTCTTCGCCCTTGACATTATGTGCTGAGCACGATGCATCTTGGGCAATGCGCTTGATTACTTACTTTGTAGTGTAATGGATGACTTTGGCGAGATAGATATATATGACTTATCAAACCGAGCGCATTTCTAAATTATTTGAACAAAGCCTAACCCGAAAACCAATTCCAGAGCCAATAATGTTGCCATTAAAAAAGAAACAGGCTCGTTAACCAGCCGTGTCGCAGACTAAATAATATTCCAGTTCGGCATAAATCGGTGGTCGCCGGCGGCATTCACAGTAATTGCTTTCGTTGATATATCATCTGTGCATTGTTTATTTAGCGCGCCTTTTTGTCTGGTAGCCGGGCGTCCTGCTCTTTTTTGTGTCGGGGACAGGGAGAGGTGAAAATGAGCGGCACAGGTTAAGGTGCTATTCGGAGCAGGCTTGGAGTCCCAAAAGCTATTATTGAGTGTCGCGGCACTGCACCGCGTGCGCTGGCGCATTACGCTCCGTTCGAATAAGGCTTTAAGGCCGTCCCTTCAGCGTCTCACGCGATGTCTTCGCCCACACTGCAAATGCGCTCGGCATGTCTTATGTAAATGCACCATGTCGCCTCCGAGTTTAATTAATCTCTAGCCGCATAAATAAACTGGCCTAAGGATCGATTTATTCCGAATATTAAACAATGAGAATTCGATTCGAGCTGTCGGGCCGCGATGCTGTGGTCGGGTACTCGACTAGATCTGTATCGTAAGCGGTTTGCTCTATCATGATCAGATACTGTTATGAATGCATAAACAATTTTGTGTGATTGAATGGCTTCTTGTTGTGAAATTGTAGCTTACCTATTAGGACTAAACTTGTTTTATAACAAAAAACAGATCAAGTGCTCCTGGGGATCCGTACAAACTTGCAGGCATGTATGTAAATAATTCATTTACCACGGGAATAACAGATTAATGAAAAGCGCAATGGGAATTATGGATAGGTACAGTCAGTTTCATAAAAAAATTAGGTGACAATATGGTTAAATACTTGTTATTAGGAGAAAAGGTTCAATAGTCTTAGCATTTAAAGTTATGTAAATATTGTACACAACCAATCAGTCTTACATTTCTTCACATCAAAAGTCTCCAAATAAATTTATTATGAAGGTACGCTTCGTAACTGCCCTTTTTTTTAACGATGAGAAATCCCTTGACACTATTTACAAACATACTTTTTACTGCGGAATTCAACGGTGATATTTGAAATTCTTGTTCTAATTTAAATTACATCGCGGATCCCAAATGCTATTAACATTTTAATTATGTAAGCACTGCTGGTCATTGGTATGTAAGCGTCCAGACTCTTGATTCATAAATATCTTTGTTTACATAGATTTGTGGCGGCGACATCTATATGCCCCACATATAGACAACGGATGGAGGAAATCATTACTCACCATCCTCAAGAGATGGCGTTACCTGTACTGCGATCAATAATAGTATGGAAGGCTACATCGCGCAAATGAAATTCGGAAGCTAACTCTTCATATATACGATGCCCGACCAACATCAGTTGGGTCGCGGCCCCCGAGCTACCACCACCCAGCTCGGAGTAAGATCTTCCCCTTTGGCCTTCCTACAGATTATTTAATTTCTAGTACTTCCGAAGGGAAGATCGACGGCACAGGTGGTTAGCGCATTCGGCCTGCGATCGTCAAAGTCAAGCCACTTTCGTAATATGGTCGGTCATTGGATGGGTGACCTTCCATAGTAAAATTGATTTCAAAATGATTGTTCCAAATAAAAGACACTTCAATTACGCCAATAAAAATGATGGGTAGAGAATAACTTAAGAATCGTATTAACCTAGATTAGCGTTTACTCTTCTTAACTACCAAGATAGTTTTGATAACTTTCAGTGCCTATTTACCATTGCATAGTTTATTCATGAATATATACGAAGTATATTAAAAAAAGCAAGCTTAACACATCTCTTATCTATTAGACAAGTCCGTCCATCGGTCTGTGATGCTGTTTCAGCGGCCAAACCGTAAGAAATAGATAAAGAAAATATTTAAGTTATAAGTTAAGAATAGTCTGATAAGACTACAAACTGGATTTGAGTAACGTAGGTTTTCGAGAAATCACGAATTTCAAACGAAACCACACAAAATCTCCGAAGTTCTCAATTAATTAAATACATTTTTTTTTTTAAATCAGGTTTTGGTGAACACTTGGTTCTAGTGTTGAGTAGGACTTACAAGAGGCGGTACATTTGTCCCGGACACGACGTCAAAATGTAAGAGCGGCTCAAAATTTTAAAATGTACTACTTCACATTAAATGTCGCGATAGTCGCGTCTCGTTACTCACTCACTCTTCGTAAGTCTGAGAGAGAGCGAGGCATGACATTTCATTTGAGTCCTCTACGCACTATCCATCTGTATCTCTATCTCTCCTTCCTAATCCTTGTCACTCGCACTGGGTTGCGTTCAAAACCTACGCTCTAGGTGCAACAAATATTTAAGTTGACATTAGCTTCATACATTTGATGTCAAAATTTAAACGTCAGGGTAAAAGTTGCACTCAGAGCGTAGGCATTGAACGCAGCCCAGGATTGGGTTCAGAACTTACGCTCCAGGTGCTATTCGTGCACACAAACGTAATGTCGAGCTTCTGTACGCCTCAATGTCATATTTGTACTCGTCACTTCAAATGTATTGCCGAGCTTCAGTACGCCTCGCCTCATTTGAAGTGGGACATTGTACTGGCTCAGTACAAAAAAGAGGCTACTCTTACAAACTCTTTTTCAAGTCGTGTCCTACCCAACACTACTTGGTTCACTGGTTTGCTAGTTATATAATAATAATTGTGTTGTTTAGATCATATTGACCATTTCTCTTTACTTAAATAATTTTGATCTGACTTCGCACTAAGTTTTATTTAAGCTCGCTGTTTTTTTTTTGTGCTCTTACTCCAAATTTCATGACGCTAGGTCAATGGGAATATCGCCATAGGTTTTGATTCCATTGGGGTCGACAAGCATGTGGCATAAACGGCCCCATCTTTTACTTAATTCAAAAAAAACTGTTGTTATTTATGACAGTAAGTAAGATAACCATGTAGGTATATTTATTTCACAGACAATTTTTCATTACTTTAATAAAATATCATCTTTCAATCAAAACCTACTCTTCAGCAGATCTTATAGGTTCATGCTTAATCACATTAACACGTGACCTGCGAATTTCTCAATCTCGTATTGTTTGCTGTTATCATAATATAATGATTATTACACAAGTCCGTCCGTCGGTCTGTATTGCAAGTGCGCTAAGATAAATGACTATACACGCTTTAGGTTAATTGACCCTGAAATAAAATATTTGTTGGCCAGTCGTAATGGAATGGATATCCTCAAGGCACTTCACAGCGCGCGGAGAGCGCCTAACGTTATTTAAGTATCGTTTCAAAACGTTGTCTCTCGAATAGATTAAAAATTAATTAAAACATAACAAAGCGATAATTCATTCATAAAATCGTTTGATGTCCGCGAGAGCTCTCTTTAAAGAAATAGTATTTTAATTTATGATTAATTTCTGTTTAATCATCATGATGATGATTAAAATGGTAAATCTAAGCACTTTCTTTTTATGATATAAACTTTTATGTCCGTTTAGACGTTTTGCTCGTGGAGTTCATACGGCTATGGAATTCACTATGATTTAAGTTCAAACTGCCCGTCTTAGATATTTATTGACAATAGGAATCATGCATGACAACCCGTTGTCAATAGGGGTGATGACGGGGTTCAGTAAACGAAATTCTATTTTATTAGTCCGTCAGTTAGATGATCAAAAAATAATGGACAAGTATTTTTTCTTTGGGCAATCAACCAAAAAAAGTCAAAATTTGGGCTCGTGACGGCACTTTTGAGTGAATTTTCACTTATAAGTGTACTCAAACGTGACGTCATGCGATTTTTCAAATCAATATATCTGCAATGCTTATATTATGTGAAAAAATAAAAAATAAAAACGAGTCCAATACTTTTTGATAATCTACCTGATAAACGAAGAAAAAAAAATAGTCATCATCCCTATTGTTACCATAAACCTTGTTTTTAGCGAGTTTCCGATATTTCGGTACTGTTGCAAGCACCATGATCATGGAGTCACAGATAATGGCGCTTGCAGCAGTGCCGAAATCTTGATTCTCCTGATCAAGAAAAAAATAGTCATCATCCCTATTTTGGTGAGTAACTGGACGTTAGGCGATGTCGCCAGCGCACACGAAAGAGTTCCAACCAAACCCTCTGTATAATATTCCAATGAAGCTCGGCGTGGACTTGTATCTAAAACAAACAACTTAAATCATGTCGTCGAGTGAATGGACGGGCTGAATGGGTATTAAGTGGGGTGGTGGGTAGTAGGGAGGGCCGCGCAGAAAGCAATCAACGAGCGAGGATTTATGGCGAACGCCCCGAGGCGTCTGCGCGCGCGCAACCGTGCCCGTGATCGACGTGCGATAACAATCTCCGTAGCACCCTACACAGGATTTTGGAGGTTCTTCCAAAACAAGATAAGACCAGTGAAATGTACATCAGCTACCTACTTAGATGAGCTTCCAGCCCCCGTTGCATGAGCACCGCGATATAAGATAAAGTTTTTTATTGACTCCATTGTAGCATGACAGTCAAATATCGATGTAACGCTTTTATAATTTTGAGTTTTAGTGTTCACACTAGGGGGGGGGGGGGGGCAGAAGCGAAGCGAGGGCGGGCCACTAGTTGTTAAATAAGCTTCTAGTAATCTAGTAGATGGCAGTTAGAGTGTATTAAGCAATCCAATCGTATCCCAAGTAAATCTTGTTGAATATTTAGTTGAATGAATATTTTTTACCTTTGCCTTACGTTGTTGACGTGTGGGGAATAAAAATAACCGGAATTATTAACTGAATACTGAATGCACGAAATCATGACAGCTACGGCAAATTTAGCCTCGACGTTGGGGAAATATTTTATGGCAAGGTAGATTTTCAGGTTTAATAAGCCTCGATCTTTGCCGATGGATCATTTATATTTTACATGAACGTTATCCTCTGGAGTTTGAAGCATTCTGGAGCTCGAGTTGGTTCCTAGAGCCTCCCGGAGAGCGGAGAGCGGGACCACCGTCGAGCGCATGAATAGTGAACGGCTGCCGTTTATCGGACAGGGGTACGCAACATCTTCATTATGGCCGAGTGTCGAAACTTGTTAATCTGTCACTTAGTTAATTATTATGCGAGGGCCGCAGTTAATTGATTCAGCTGGCGACAAAATGTTAATAAGTGGTGATAAGCGGGCGGGCGGCCGCTGCGCCGAGCGCCGAGCGCCGGGCACACCGACGGTCGGAACGCACTGTTTTGTAATGCAAATTTTGACTTGAAGCTGCGTTGTGGATAACGCAGATAGCGATACTGGACTAACTAAATTAATACTCGCGTAACACGCGATTTTGAGCTTGCGCAGTGAGATTTCGGCAGGTTGTGCGCGTGCGAATTTCACACGAGCGGCTGCGAAACTGTTTGATGCATATCGCGGCGTGTACGGACGTGGCCGGCGCGTACAAGCCGCCGCGGCCCGAGTAATGGAGTCCCCGTGGCGTTGATTTAATTAATTAAATATTAAGGACCGCGAATGGTAATGAGCCGTGATAACTGCCGCCTGACCGGTTCGTTTGTTTATGGCAGTCGGTTTTTAATGTATATAAAAGTCATAAGTGGAGCTCGGTTACAACAAGAATGGATTGTACAGATGTTTTCGACTCGTTAAAATATTTTTATAAGCTTATTTTCTTAAAATAAACGGAACGAAAATGAAAACGTGTTTTATTAAGTAAACGGCGACTTAAAGACGAAACGTAAAGACCGAAATCAGGCTGCCAGTCTAAGTAAGTATAGCAGTTGTACTGCTATCACAAACCTATTTGATGTTACACCACGTGAATGGAATAATATATTAGAATAGAGTTTCACCAAAATCAATCAGTATTGTCCGTCCAGGCACCAGGCTCAGATCTCGACGTGAACGATTGTGCAAGGGCCGCACGCGAGCATGACATGTGTTGTATTGGTAGATAGATGATAAATAGTGAGAAGACCGCGCGACCTAACGATGCGTGCATACATAGCGGGCTGAGCCCACACTGTCGTCACTGTCTGACCTAGGGATATTCGATATACATCGATGCATCCAAAACATCGATGTTTGCAATGAAAAACATCGAATCGATCCGATGTTTTGAAAAGCTTTCAATATACTCGATGCATCGATGTTTAAAAAAAACATCGAATTGGTAATACAGTTTGACCACGTAGTGATAATATCCTCTTTTTGGTTTAACCTCATTAAAAAAAACTTAAGTTTGACCACTAATATTTTACTTACTGTTATGAAAGCATTCCGAATTCTCTGATATGGCTCCGATGTTCGCAGCACTGCGCAAGAGTCAGTGCAGTGACAATAAAAAATAACTACGAGTTTCTATGTTTAATAACATTTAATAACCTTTGGTTTTGTGAAACAAACTAAGATTGAAGTATATTTCTAATATTCTATTGACAGACAGCATTTTTTTTTTAATTTAAGTAAATAAAAGTACTCGATGTTTGAAATACATCGATGTTTTCATCCGATACATCGATTGACATCGATGTATAGTTGCGATGTATCGAATCAAAAAATACATCGATGTTTTTTCAGAGTGGACACCCCTACAGTGGCTTCTTTTACACACCAGTTTTACAATGTCTATAATGTGATTCAGACTTTATGGCCGCTGTGAAGTTAGCAGCGAGCGCAACTTCACAGGTTTCAGGCAGTGACATCCCGCGCGCGCCTACGTCACAGCGGACGCGAACTGACACACATTTAAAAAATAGGTATTTGAAACAAAGAACTATTGCTGTCGCGCTTTGGCAAATACCGACTGACAGGGACAACAGTAGCTTCTGCTGAATATTGCGCGATATTGGCGATATCACAGTTTTTGATGTGAAACTCCTATTGTGGTGGTAAGGGTGTCAAAGGGCGACTTAGGTCGGATTGCTTAGGTCTAAGATGACCACCTGAACGACCTGTAAGCACTGTGGACATAGGTAGTTAACTCCTTATAGTTTGTTCATTTATTATTTTCGTTGCGCTCGCCCGGCGTAAAATACAGGGGAGAAAAAAGTAAAGATACTTGCAACGCTATTCGGTAAGAAGAAAATAACTTTTCATCGCGGAATCCGTTGTAAAAAGTGAATTTGTTCTTACAGATTAGCACTGCTGTATGAGAAACAAAAAGGTAAGTTAACTATAAGGCCTCAATCTCGTGAAAAACAGGATGGTTTTTTTAAAAAAAAATTAATTTTTTTTTTTGGTGTACTAACAACAAAAAAACATTTTTTGCCAGCGATGCGAAATAACATTTTATAAGCGAATGCGAATTGGTTTTATAAGACTATTGCTAATTACCCATGTAATTTATAGCCATAGATTTCCATAAATTACTTACTACTGATGTTGCCCGAACGAAATTTTTATTGCAAGTACTATCTACTATATTAATTAGCGATATTTCAACCTGACTACGTAGTAATTGTAGTGGTATAAATAATGAAGAATTTCGTTAAAAATATATTCTATGGTTGACTTTATACGATAGCTGTGTTTATATTTATACTTTAGTTTGTAACAGATAAAAATAAAAACTTAAAAAATGTGATATGTATAAGTATGTGTGTGTGTTAGTTAAAGGGTTTACATATTTAAGATTTTGCACAGAAGTTTAAATGTGATATCAAAAAAGCACATTTCTGTGCAATTGTTGTGATTATGATCTTAAATATTTTATAGTTTCCTCCTTGCAAGCGACTCTTTCCTGTCTGTGCCACGGACGAACGAGCGAGGGGCTTATTGTGGTATCCAACTTAGTCTGTGTTGTCAAGCATCGTGTCACGGTTGTTGCGCAGGAGTTTCGGTGCGAAGTGCAGCAAGTGCTGTCGGGGTATCTCGTCGTCGGACTGGGTGCGGAAGGCGCGCGAGCAGGTCTACCACCTTGCTTGCTTCGCGTGCGACGCGTGCGGCCGGCAGCTGTCCACAGGCGAACAGTTCGCCCTGCACGAGGACCGGGTGCTCTGCAAGCCCCACTACCTCGAGACCTTGGACGGCGGCTCTATTTCATCTGATGGTAAATATCTGGTCAATGATGCTTCTAATTAACACAGGAATAGTTGCACTCGTTTAGATTTAGATGAAGAATAGGATGTTTTATATACAAAAGCAATCTATGTACAAAATAGTGTCAGTTTGACGTAAATAATTTCAACTCCTTTAATTTGGTAGTAGTTGTAAAATTAAATACTACGAAATTATCGAATACGATTCAGTAATTGCGATTTGTATAGGCAGTTGTAGATTCCCTATTTTAACGGGCAAATCTCTATTATTTTTTATAAATATCTTAATCAATTTCCTGAATCTTTGAAGGGCCACAACCTATCGAATGCATAGTTCGGTATCAAAGGAATTTGTCTAAAGTTAAAGATTATTTTATTCTTTCAACAGCATAACCAATCCTCTTTCACACAGACGGCTGCGACTCCGAGGGCTACCACAAGAGCAAGGCAAAGCGCGTGCGCACCACATTCACAGAGGAGCAGCTGCAAGTGCTACAGGCGAACTTCCAGCTGGACTCGAACCCCGACGGCCAAGACCTGGAGCGCATCGCGCAGGTCACCGGCCTCAGCAAGCGCGTCACGCAGGTCTGGTTCCAGAACAGCCGCGCGCGCCAGAAGAAACACCAGCACACCGGCAAGAGCAAGCAGAACCAACGTTAGTAACATGTTCCTTGTTCAAACAGCAATAAACTAAGGCGATTCTGTGATTCGCAATTTCATAATCGCAGTTTGATAGTCCGTTTTTTTCTGTTGGAAGATTTGCAATGAGATTGACGCGGACAAACAATTAATAATGGTAAAAAATATTTGAACTACAGCCATTGGATGTGAGATTGTGAGTTCGAGAATCGCCGTGGCGCTCAGAGGTCAGCCGGATACAATCCAAATGTAGCTGTGCTTTTTATCGTTTTCCCCAAAGATGAGAAGATGTGTGAAAACAGTTACCTATCTTGCACAACGATATCTTTAGTGTGTGTTCTGCATATGACATTCTACTTTATATTTTTATGATGAACTTAAGTTTGCGCTAAGCTTGCGAGGTTGCAATAGCGATTTTTATACATGTTATATGTGATACATATTGTTTTTGAAATTTGAAATTCATTTGATGAGAGATTGATTTATAATTATTATGGCTGGTGTTTTACTTTGTGACGGCTGTTGTCGGCAGTGATATCCCGGGACGCGGATCCGGTGGGGTTTGGGCGGCCCATCAACCTCCACCTCACGTATTCGTTCCAGAACAAACCGCCTTTTGTCCCAATAGGTAAATATAAAACATATTTCTATTCTACTTGCAAAGACATCGTCTGTAATTTTAAACCTCCCGGCACTTTAGGCGACCATTGGTGACAGTTTAAATCAACCAACCTTCAGTAAAATAGGCTGATTCAGAATTCCTAGCAACAGATTTTATTTATTCTAAGAGCGGTCATACACGGACTGCTCGAGCAGTCAGAGTAAACAGCTTAAGGTTGCTTTCCAATTACAGCATTATAGCGCATTATGCGGCATAATGCTTAACGTTGAGTGTTCCAACTACAGCAACGCTTCGCACAATTGAGCACTCTCAAAAGTGATGCTTTCGTGTGATGCGTGCAATCGTACCAACTTAGAGACAGAAAATTAACAAGTGTTTTTTCTTTAAGTTGGCATTGATCGAAATGTTTTATTTATATGTTATCGTTAGTAATATTATTTATTGTTGAAAAATTATTAAAGCTTTCGTTTCATTAAATAGTTTTTAAAAAAAATCAAAGTTCATTCAAACTGTTAAAATATAAATATAAGTATGGATGAAGGTACAAACATTGACTTTTTTTTCAACACTGAACTTAGCGCACTCTGCTGGTGCATTTGAAAACTAATTCACGTTCCAATCAAGCATCAGCATAATTGGGCATTGTGCGGCACTGAGTCGCATTATGCTCTGTAATTGGAAAGCATACTAAGGCTGCCGTTAATAACTGCTCGATTGGTCCATGTCACATACATGGGCACATAGAAAACTGTAGTTCTTTATGGAGTCGCAGTTTGAAGCCATCCATCCCGACTACTTCCTGCTGGCCATGTTTATTGGACTTAATGAATATAAACGTTAGCAATGTCCTCTAAACAAAACGTGTGTGCAATTGTTTTTCTAAATTGGTTGAGTTAACAGCTTCAAAATTCAATTGCAAAATTACATACATTTTCAAGTTAAATGCGTGCACAGGAATGACGGGAATTATTACAGCAGCGGAGGCGATTATAGTTCGATCAAAGTTCGATTCAAATATGAATTCCTACTGACCAAAATAAGCCAATGACCTCCATCTGTCAAATGTCGCTTGAAAAGTACGGTTTGCAAAAAAATCTATTAACCCTTTTTTAGCACTCAGCTAATTCTAGAATTAAAACCAAACATTTGTACACTAACAATAACAAATATTGATAAATAATATTGATTGATATTTGTTTTCGTTTATTGAGCTTTGGTTATGAATGGTCGATAACCTAAATTGTGAACCAAATGTCACTTTAAGTTGCGTTACGAAACTCACTTTAAAACTTTCGTTTACATAAATGATGCATATTGTTCCTATGTGACCTAGTAATACTGCATGATTATTCATAACTACTCCGGCGGTAATGCAGAGATGAGCGGAATTGAAGAGCTAGATTCTGATTATTTTTTTTCTCACACCGTCTTATTATTTAATATCGGTTGTTTTTTTTTTCAATCTTAGTAATTGAATTTTGGTAATAAAATCTGACGGTTTTTCGCACTTAATCTTAGTAAATCAGTTTTATTAAATGAAAACTTTTGTTTTGCTCACTCTACCTATTTGGTTTGAATTGACAGCTATGACGTCACAATATGGCGCCCAGTCAGTCCTATTCTTAGTTGAATCGCATTAAAACTTCTTTTATCACCGTCAGGCATTTTGTACAATGTATAAATATTTTTTAATTTTATTTCTTTACGGCCTCGAAGTCAACCATACAGCCAAGTTTCACACACAGATAAACGTAGGTTCTCTTTGAACACAGATTAATAAGATTAAGTCTAGAGTTTTACAAAGATTGGCTTTGTTTAAGGTTGAATTGAATGAATGGCTCAGCTATGTCTTTTTTGGCAATAAAGAACGAAAGAGACAAAACTAAACAGTGTGAAGTTCGTTTAATCGAGTCATCGAGCATACGACATCGTGAAGACGAGGAGTGAAATTCTATACTCGTACTGCGACAAAATTCGAAACCATATTGTTTGATCGAATGGACGATGACGATCGTTCGTTTCGTATTAAAAAAACTCATATTAAGGGTACACGTATCATTTGTTACGTCGTGTTATGTTGAAGTGTTGCATTTGTTTTAAATGAGGTTTCTTCGACCTGTTTCAGATGGAACTTCCTTCACGGATTCCTCAATGGATGAGCTGTCCGAGGATTCGTCGATACATTGCATGCAGAGCGAGGTGTAACCATCGTTCGACCACCACAGCGCAGCGCAGGGACCACGTCTCAGATATACTAAACTCAGGATTATATTTTATGTGCACCTGATTTCAGTTGTACTTTTCAATATGTTGATAAATAAAACTATAGCGTAGACAAAGTCAAGTAAAAGATTATACAAAAAACATGAATTGGTCAAAAATTTGAGTATTAAGACACTCGCCTAGGTAAGACTTACTTTTTTATCAGTTGTCTAAAATATTAAAATTTTGTTTAGATTTTCGCCATATTTTCGCATACCTACCTCTTCTTTATGTTTTACGGTATCTGAAGCGTATCTTCTGCTGCTACTATTGACATATCCAGTGATATATTTAAGTATATTTATAGGTACACCGCTGTATACTGGCCTCTCGCTTTCTATTTTGATATCCATTTTAATGATAATTAAACAAAGTTTGTAAATTATTAAATTAAGCCTTTAGAGAATTGTAATCGATTCGAAAAAAACTGTATAGCAAACTCGCGTGAAATTAAAACACTTTTTTTAAGTTTTTTGTACTTTTAGTTCTACATTACAAATTTCCTTCTGTGTAATAAATCTTGTAGTAGCTTTTTACACACACTATATATCGTGGAAACAGGTAGTTTTGATACGCGGTAAAAACAAAACATTTAGCTTTTTCCTATTATAGGAAAAAGCTTACCTGTGGTGCGTGTTTGAAGTGTATAGCTAAACCTTGAATGGCTGAATTCTAAAGGAACCTTAAGCAGCTGGAAAATGGTTAAAGGGTAGCAGTGATATGTGGAAGACATCTCACCGCGAGACAAGTCTCCGCTCCGCCTTAGAGTCACTATTCACTCGAGCTTGAGGGGGCTTAGCGTAATTAGATAGAGTCCAAATATCAATCTCAACCTTACCACCTGGCAACTTACAGTTTTTAAGCAACACCATAACTATGTTTTTAATATGAATAGTTAACTGTAACAGTGCTTTTAAACATTTTGGGACAAAATTCACTACCAGGGTCAAAATTAACTCTTTCTACGATATCTTAGTACATACTTACTTTATACATATAATTACTGGATGACTGATTTTTCTGGGTTTAACCATTTTTCTTAGGTTCAATGATGAAATTTGTAACACATTTAGTCACTTTATGCCATAATACTTTCCAATCTATTTATTAATAATAATTTCTAATATGTATCATTGCTTGTAAGAAAATAAAATTTATAAATAAAAATTAAGTCTGTAATATATACATTTAATTGTTAGTCTCTAATAATATTAAAGCCCATGTGTAATTGTTATCATATTTATTGTAAAAAGTATTATTTATCTATTTATTTCTAGTAACTGTGATAAGTTTTGTCCGCAAACAGGTAGGTATTTGTGTTGTAAAATTTTAAATACTTGGTTTTTTTATTCCAGTTAAATATAATCAACTGTAATAGCTATGTAATACTTACCTACTACATCAAAAATATGTGCTATTTTCATACCCAGGAATAGAAATTTATACGTCAACATTTTTAATAATTGCCCTTAGATTACAACAAAAAGAGAAGATACGGCACTCGCGGCACAAAAGTGATCCGCTTAAGTTGTGGTGCATGACCACAATTCGGTATAGTCACAATTTTACATTCAAACACGCTGCATGTGCACTCAATATAACAATGTTACATATATTCTCTCTGTTATAAAAATAAAACAATGCCTTAGATGCTCTTATAAAGAACACAAAGAGTTCAAAATCAAATAATAAGTGCGTCGGCAACACTTTTCATTCATAAAACTGTAAAATATTTTTTTTTTAATATATCACGGTTTGTCGTGAATGTTATTTACGTGATCGCCATTTTGTTATCAAGAAAAGGACAACGATACAACTCAGTCGTTCGGACTCGGACGCATACACGCCGTTTCGCTCGCGCTGCGTCGAAGCGTACAGTTCTGTCTCGCTCGCTCGATTGAATGTTTATTTACAGACGTATGCGTATGTGACAGTTGTTTATGTAGTACAGTCGGAACATATTTTATTTGATGCTAGTATGAGCGTACCGTCCCTTTTTGTTTCAATCTAAGTATGTGCCGGGTGCAGGCAAGATTTAAATATCATCATCATCAGCCTATTAATGTTCCCACTGCTGGCGCATAGGCCTTCTCTAGGGATGGAATAGGGAGATTGGACCATGACCCACCACGTGGGTTGGTGGGTGCTAACGACTGCAGATGCAGCCGGGACCAACGGCTTAACGTGCCTTCCGAAGCACGGAGGAACTCGAGTTGGAAGATTTTTGGTCACCCATCCAATGACCGACCACTGCGAAAATTGCTCAACTTCAACGATCGCAGCCGAACGCACTTACCACCTGCGCTATCGGGCTCCTCGATTTAAATATATATCTTAGTAATACAGAGAGATTAAGTAGCACTAAATAATGATGCGATCGTTGAAGTTAAGCAACTTTCGCAGTGGTCGGTCATTGGATGGGTGACCAAAAATCTTCTATCTCGAGTTCCTCCGTGCTTCGGAAGGCACGCTAAGCCGTTGGTCCCGGCTGCATCTGCAGTCGTTAGCACCCGCCAATCCGCACTGGGCCCGCGTGGTGGGTCATGGTCCAATCTCCCTATTCCATCCATAGGGAAGGCCTGTGCCCCAGCAGTGGGGACATTAATAGGCTGATGACGATGAAATAATGATTGATTAATTAACTTTTCTCACTAGAAACGTTGTACCTATATATTTTTTCTGTAGTGGGTAATAATTGTTAAAAGTTATAAAAGATACAATTCATATGCTTTTGTGTCATAATAATAAGTAAAGAATCATCTGAAAATGACAAACACAGTTTACTTTTTAAAAAACAATCATTTTGATTACTAGGTAACTATTCAATTTATCATCGTAAATACGTAGGTAGACATTATACATGTTTTTATTTCTAAGATAAGGTAGGAGAAAACCGGGCGACTTGCCCAAGTGGGAGAATTGACACATCTTTCAAAATTATATTTTTAATTTAGGGCAAACAAAACGTCAATTCGTTCATTGGTCACATGCGAGACTGTTTTGTTTTGCGCACTCACACACACAGTCTCGCATGTGACCAATGGACAAGAAATCTGCAAAATTTGGCCACTAGGGGCGCTGTAATCGCTTGACCCAAAACTTCTATCAAATACATACTATTAGCTTATATTCATTTTTAAGCTTTTTATTAAACAAATAACAAATGCCGCGTTGTGCAGTTCCTGGTTGTTGAGAGAATACTGTATGCTTACTGACTAAAATATATTTTTATATGTTGCTTTGATAGGGGGATAAAACTGAGCTGATGTTTAAATCATGGTATGTATCTGGGGCAGGTAATTGCATCTGGATGTCTTCATTTTGATCAGAAAAAACTGCACCAAAATTAACATTGCAGGCATATGCCTCAAGTCTGTAAAAAAACCCAATTTTATACTTCCCATTTTAGCCAGAGGTAACCTAACTCTATGTGATGTCTGACTGATGCAAAAATAAAATAGATTTGACTAATGAGCCCGCTAAAAGTTACTGAGATCCATGAACTATTAAAATAATCATGAAAAATGCATCTACGTACCTAGAATGAGTATTCTAGCATAATAATGGAAGGAGTGCCTTTCTACTAGATCAGCTTTTCTGCCTTGCACAGATGCTCCTCTACTTTTCAACTCTGTTTTCAGCTGTGTTACAGACCATGATGAATACACTTTAACCACTTATTTAATATTTTTAACAACAAAAAAAAAACACGTTTAAAATTTGACATCTGCAATATTCGGCTGTGGTTTGGGTCAAGCGTTTGCAGCGCCATCTGTCGAGCTTTGCGTATACTTCTCCATTAAAGAATTGACGTTTAGTTTGCCCTAAATTTAAAATACAAATTTGATATCAATTCTCCCACCTGGGCAAGTCTCCCGGGTTTTCTCTAAACTGTACCCTTACAACGAACCAATATCGAATTCGTAACGTTTGCGAGTCCGAAATGTCATTGTCAAATGTGTACTGATTTTTAGTTCTCGTTACGGACTGTGTCGTGCTGCTATTCAAGTTTCCATACAAATTTTGACGTTGACAATGAGCACTCACAAACTATTCGAATTCGATAATGGTTCGTGCTAGGGGTACTGTACTTTAATAATTATAAATTTTTACTACCTTCTACGAATGGATTGTGCCAACTTTTGTATCAGAATTGCAGAAAAAATTAAATTGTTAACACATTGCAAGCAATTTACTACTAAATACCTGTGAATCCATTTTTTTTTAAAGTAATGTTGTGTTTGGGATTACATTAATTACGATGGGTACTTTGTTGAAACTGACCTTGAAACCCGTTAAATATCCTATACTAATACGCAAGAGATGTGATGTGCCACATTAATTTAAAACTTGTTTGTTTCTTACAGCTTAACACAAACTTCTTTACTTTAACAAAAGCGTAAGACAACATGTTACTAATACGTGTAAGTTAACTCGGAAAAGTACGGCTAATGAGTGAAATTACTTTTCGGTTGTGGTTTAAATGGAATAATCCTATAGAAAATATGAAACGGAAATGCGTTACACGACTATATATAAGTATATATATATATATGTGTGTGTGTGTGTGTGTGTGATGTGTTGCAGCGCAGCTCATCCCGATGAGCATGAAAGTTAGAGAATAACTCGGCGAAGGCTGAAAAGCTACGAGTGTCACGAGCGTCATATGCGACAATATATACATATATATATATATATATATTTGAGTGATGCGTGCGCTGCTCCATTCTCCTATGTCCCACGCACCGCCTCATGTTAGAAAAGAAGTTTCACATTTTTCTTATTTAATTAGATGTTACTAAAGTGACGACGAACTTATAATAACAAAAACAGTATTGTCCTCTACAATTTTTACTTAATCCATCACAGGCTCAGGCACGAATTTCGACAGCTCCGTAATCGAATCGTCTTCATCAAATTTTGTATGGAAGCAGCCAGTTTCTTCTTACGTCCGTTAGGGGGGGGGCGCTTCTTAGGTTTCATAGAAACTTTGACGACGTAATCAGATAACGGAGATGTCAAAATCGTGCCTGAGCCTCTGGTTATTAGGCATCGCTCTTGAACAAAAATACACTGAAAAAACATGCTACAACAATTGGGTGTTAATTTTTTGTATGTACTTAAATAATCTTTACTAATTTGTACCAACTTTAGGTGTACAATTATATGCAATGTTAGGTGTAGTGCCGTCAATTACATCGCTAGTTGTTTAAATAGATAGATTTATTTATCTTGTTCAGTATTGTAAATATATTTTATTATTATTGTATTTAAATAATGTACATTTTCCAGCAGTTCTATTTATGTTTTAGATTAAGCGTGATGATTTGTTGAATGTCATCCCCGCAGTCTTTACGCTGAACGAGTACTAGGTACTTGAATTTATGCTGTACAAATTATGAAATATATTATGTTGATTGAAATTGCTGTTTGATTTTTCAAAGTTTATTTTTATAAATTTACATATAGTGCATATATAACCTACATTTTAAATATTCAAAGCTAAGCTACAATAATTAACAAATAACTTACGCTTATAATGTATTTAAAACAGGATTATTACATACTGCTTTATTATATACCTACGCTAAATCAATAGGACAAAAAATTAACTTAATATTATGCTTCAATGTTTTTTTTTTGTAAAAGACAAAAAGAAAAAAAATATTAATGCAACATTGTTATATTTACCTTCTTTTTGTCGAATAATAATAATAAAAAATATGATACATTCTTGGTAAAAAAAACGAAAATTTAATAACGCGTTAGGAAAATATAAGTAAAAATAAAGCTTAGTAAAAATTATAAAGAAATATTAGAAATGCTTGGATTTTTAATCAAGTCATTATCAAGGCCTCAAAGCCTGATTAACTGGTTTGGACTTTTTTAGGTGTAATAATTTATTACATTACGGAAATAATACTATTTTTATTCATAATAATGAGAGTATTATTTCCTCTACAGATTTAAAACAATATGTTGCCAAAATTATCATTATATTGTGCATTACTTACTTACTTTTATTTTGATACACAACTCAAATAATCTTAAAGCAAATCATATTTAAACTTAAAACTAATTTAATCTACATTTTAAACAGTTTCTTAAACTTATAACAATATAAAAAAGGTTTTCAGAAAAGTGTTCTTTTGTTTATTATTACTTATATAAGAAACTTAAACTTCTATGAATATTGCCCGAGTTTTAATTATTTTTCTTGCTCGTTGTTGTATCCCACAATGAGACAATGTCACTTGAAAGATTATGCAGTATTTGGAACTCCTTAATTTTAAATTTAAGCTTTAAATTAAATTAAATACTATATTGTGCTGTTATCATGAGCACATTTGTTTGCACGCAGAAAATTCCCTTAAGTAATAAAAATTTGATCAATAAATTTGACACTAATCAGGGAGATAACATTTTCTAGACCACTTTGTTAAAGCCAGTTGCCGTAGACAAGTACGATTTAAATATTTGCATGTGGCAATGAAACCATCCATTCGATAGAACGCTATCTACATAGATAGCAATTAGGTTTTTGAATTATTTGTTCAAAGTTGTAATTGTACAACTTTGAAATTGTCTAGGGAATAGACAAACTACAGTTTTTTCCTTTTTGATTAAATTAGCGATATCTTTCGAATGAATAGTAAAAATGGCACTTTGTCTTCTAATCTCACAAAACTTTAGATAGGCAACTTAAGACTTTATTAAGGAAGTGCCTATCGCCATTAGGTATATCTTTTTTCTTGAAGAAATATACGTTCAATATGTTCACTGGACATTATTTTACAGGCCAGCCTATAGTTTATCCATTGTGTTGATGAGCAAACCCATTTCCTGGTGCACATCCCGAAGAAGATCCTTCATCTGCTTGGAGGAATCTAAGATGTCAATACTCTGTGTATATGGGTTGTAACGCACTCCGAACTCTCGTGGAATGGTGTGGGCGAATTTTCTGAAATTATACAAAATGACGATTCAAGTAGCTGTTTTTTTTTTCTGTAAGCACATGCGAAATACGGGCGGGCTCTTGGGACATTCGGAAAAGCTAACGAACGTCTAATGATCTTTCTGTAGATCCAACCCACATTAAAAACAGGGTCATTGAAATGTGGCATTAATTACGAAATTTCTGTTTTAAAAGTACTGGATTTAAAGAATAATAATTACCTACTTTTGTGAGTAGCTACAGTTAAAAAAGAAAAAAATATTTAAAATCATCTATCAAAACTTACATCATCTTGTCTTTAGCGTCCTCAAAGGTATTGGCGACAAAGTAAACAGGCTGGTACTCCGTAATGGGGTACTTGGTGAGGCCGGTGACTTCCGGATCGAATTCCTTCAGTTGAGGCTTGTCTGTCATGCAGTACTGCAGCTCACCGAAGGAAGAGAGCAGTCCAGCGCCAAACGCCTTCAGTTTGCCTTCTTGTCGGCAAAGACCGTATTCCACGGTGAACCAGAAACACTGAAAGAAAAATAACTGTTATTAATCTGGAATATGGAATTATTTTCATCAAAGAACTTTTCTATCTACTATCTATCTTCACTCCGTGTCCTGGGCGGGGTCGACAGAGACAATAAAGCGTCATTTCTACATGTTTGTTTGGCAGAACATTTTAGAAATATTGGATTATATTCCTTGACTCAGTTTTATAAGATACCTTTTGTAAAAGGTTGATTTTTTAGAATGCGTTGTTTCCAGCATAATCAAAATTTACCGTGGCTAGTTTTTCGATGTAATCGTCAGGGGCGCCCAGTGAAGCGAGACCTATCTCCTGCGAAAACTGCGCGAACGCTGGGTCGGCGAATAGAGGCGCGTGGCCCAGCAACTCGTGGCATACGTCCGGCTCCGGCGTGTATAGCGGCCGCGAGTGGTGCCTGATGTACTGAGTGCTGTGGAACACGCGGAACGCCAGCCCAGCGAGGAAATCACGCGACGATAGAAGACCAGCCACTGGGCGAAGTGTGAATCCGGTGCAGTCTGTGGTCAATGAAAAATACTTTAGAGAAAAGCAGATAAGCAAAGGGTCATAGTGCCGTGGTATTAATACAGGTATTCATACTTTCTCATTTTAAAGAGAAAAAAAATAATAATAATTAGATTATAAAATTACTTCACCGCACCTTTAAGGAAGTTGGAAACATCTTCCAGCTGGGGAATATTGTCTTCTCTGTAGCCACAGTTCTCAATGAGCAGTGGGAACACATGGTTGTGCTCTTTGCAGGCATGTGTGGGGTACAGCTCCGTTAGCTTCCTGAACACCACGCCCCAGGTGACGACTTCCTCTTTGGTGTAGTTGACATGTGGCAGCGGCTGGCCGTGCTTGTAGTTGTAGGCGATATCGGCGAAGTACTTGCGGCGTGCGCGGTACTCAGCGTCTGTGAACCCAGGGTGGTCCGAGTCCAGCTCGGCGCCATACGACAGGATCTGGTTAGCGAACCTGTCCAAGTCTCGAATACGGCGAGGGAACCACGGAACGGCCGCTGTAAAAGGGTATTTTTATGATTATGTTATGTGATTCTCATTGCTAAATTATGTGAAAGAAAAATATGAAGTTATTTTGATTGAAATTTTAATTTAGGTAAAACCATTCCTAAGGCGCGTTTATTACCTATTTAATAACATTGACATTTAAGGCCCTTTAGAGGGTAAAAGTGGTTTCATTTAATTATTGGATAATAAGTTAGTTTATGTTTATATGAAAAAGATAATACGAGTATATTTGATAATTAATCTAGTTAAAATTCATGAAAAAGTTAAACAATTGAATGAAGAGTATCCAGGAAATTAGCTGAGCTTACATCGGTTATCTTTGTAATTTCTAGAGATAATGTTCAAGTATCCCACGTCCTCCTTCAGGTCTTCGAGGGCAGCTCCGAAATCGCCGGCACCGTGTTCGCACTCCACCATGAACTCATAGCCGGGCCTCCGTACGGATGAGCGGGACTCGATGTGACTGAGGTTGACGCCGTGGTTGGAGAAGATTGTCAAGAACTTGGCGAGGTTGCCCGCGCTGTCGGGTGACTTCGGTGAGAACAGCAACCAGGTGGATTTGGTGGAGTCGCGGCCTTCGCGGATGTAGTTGCCCCCTTCCATCAGCTTCGGCTAGAAACAAAAGAATATGCAATTGATTAGACTAAAAAAGATACGCTAACTAAGTGTCACCCCACACGGGCTATACGCGACAACCACAAACGCCTCCATGAGAAGTTAGAAGCGGCTACAAAGGTAGCTGAAGCGCGCGACAGCCACTTATGGCCGGTGGTCGACACTCGCCGGTAGTCGACACATGCCGGTGGTCGACACTTGCCAGTGGTCGACACTTGCCGGTGGTCGACACTTGCCGTCGGTGGCTACTTGCCGGTGGTCGACACTTGCCGTCGGTGGCTACATTTTTTAACACATGCGTGCAGTATCATAATGGACTCGAGTGAAGTGTGGCGGCGTTTTGTATCGGCGCATTAGTGGCTGGTGCGGGCCACAAGAAGCGAGCATCGAAGATTTGTAGCGTGAGGTGGCCACCGGCGTTAACCGTGTGCGGATAGTCCATATAAAATGTATGAAAACTACAGGAAACATGCCGGTGGCGGTGTTTTGTAGTTGTGGCCGGTGGCCCGTGTGCGGGGACCCTAAGGCCTCCTTTGGTTTTTAATTGGCTTGAATCAAATTATTGGCTGAGTCAGTAGTCGTAAGTTGCTAATGACAAGCCATCGGCTTTAAGGACCATCCTTTTCGTACCCTATAAAATACGAGAAGATATATTTCTGAAGTAAGTTGCTATAATAATCAGGCCCGATAAAATAAACAATTAGGCCCACTTGTACTAAAGTTCTAAATTCAAGTTTAATATTTAATCAGGTTTAAGTCGCATCCTACCTTTTTTTGACTTAAACAATTGACAATGATGGAATAATGTGCTAAACAAGGTTAAGCCTTAACTCGAGTCAAGAACTCTCATGCAAGCGGACCTAATACAAAGTATCTGTGTCCTTATTAGGGTAATTAATTGAACTCGTAAAGATTATGGTTTATGTTTACATTAATCCGTGACGTAAGCTAGACGTTATCGGGGTTTTCGCACCCCGGCTGACACGCGGCCCGAACAATCTTTGGGGCGCATTGAATGACTGAACTGATAACGCGTCACGTATCTGCGCGTGATAAGGGAACCGTTCCATTTTGTACTGATATTCAGGTTATGTGGAGATACTGGGAGCAGATAACCTATGACTCGGCACGCTCAATGAAGTCGACGTCCCGGCGATATCGTCAAAAACAATGTTTATAATAAAATAAAAAAAAAAACGGTCAAGTGTGATTTCTATTTGCGTGGGTAGGGTTCCGTTCACAGAAATCCTAGAAACCAATAAGTTAACAAGATATGAACAGAATTGTAGGTGACTTTCCTTTTTTAATTCGGTTTAAAATGTAATCTGTGTTAAGTTAACCATAGTAAATAAATAATTTGATGCTTCATTTAACTACATATATAAAACGTGTAGTTTAAGGTTTTCTGAGTAAAATTTAGTAGATAGCATAGTCCATTATGAACCGATTCCAACTCGCTCACTATGTTCGTACTCAGAGAGTGCCAGATTATATTGGACTATAAACTTCTTACTTATCCTGTAATTTACAAAGAAAGAGCTACTTTCCATATATTTTTCGAATTTGAGACGTAGTAGTTTCTAATTAACCCCCCAAATGTTACCGCCATATTTGGAATTATTTATTTACTAACTTTATTTACTAACAGACCAGTGTACCAAATTTCAACTTGATCGGTCCAGTAGATTCCGAGCAAATCGACTGCGACAGACCGACAGACAATCGAGTCGACAGTCGATAAGAGTTTCGCATTGACGATTGAGGTTGAGACCCCTAAAAATTAAGCTTATCGCGTGTTATGTTGAAGATGACTTGCGAAAATAGAGCATTCGTGGGCGGTTTTAGCAAGGATGTCAATGACAAAACTTTGTCATTGATCCATATTCAGAGTCGATGATTGTAAGTTTTCTTATCTGACATGTAAGTAAATAAAAAGTCTAGCCGGTATGTGCTGGCTTAATCTGCTTAAAGTTAGATAGTGACAGTATTTTCTTTTCTCTGCACGAATTGTCTGAGCTTGGGAATACCCAATGAGCATACGGATATTACTTATTTTTAATATTTATGCAGGCAAACGAACTAGCAGTCCATCATCATCAGCCTATTAATGTCCCCACTGTTGGGGCACAGGCCTTCCCTATGGATAGAATTGGGATTTTGGGCCACGACGCACTACGCCGGCCCAGTGCGGACTGATGGGTACTAACGACTGCAGATGCAACCGGGACCAACGGCTTAACGTGCCTTCCGAAGCACGGAGGAGCTCGAGATAGTAAATTTTTGGTCACCCATCCAATGACCGACCACTGCGAAAGTTGCTTAACTTCAACGATCGCAGCCGAACGCGCTTACCACTTGCGCCATCGAGCTCCTCAGTCCACCTGATGGTAAATGGCCGCTGCCGCCTATGGACATTTGCAGCACCAAGGGAACCGCTCATGCATTGCCGGCAAACCGCCCGCCATAAAGAGGATACAAAGTTCTTTAAAGGTATATGAGTAATTGGCAAAATCAAATCTTAAACCAAACACAAACTATGAACATAATCCTCGAAACATCAGGCTGTTATTAGAAGGCAATCCGTTTTCTGCAAAATCCTGCAGATGGATCAATAATGTGTTTCTGTGTAATAAAATTATTATTTTGCTTATTATTCCTACAGGAAATTCTTTCTTCCTCTTCCTTCTTCCTCTTCTCTTTAACTCTATCTCCAATTGCAACTGCAGTTTAGACTTATGAGCAAGTAATTAAATATGGCGCTATTTTGCGTGTTTCTTTCCTAAGGACAGCCAGTGATTTTGTTTCACGTCAAAGGATAAGTTCTAACGACAACACGTTTTTGTCTGAAACCATTGCCTCTTCATTACAAAACGTTCGCTCAGCCCCTTCGTACACAACGCAATACAAACTCAAACCGCCTTATAACCGCAAAACGTAGACTAAATATTAACCTGGATCATTCTAAAAATCTTCGATCTTCTTCCATTCATTCATTCCATCTCATCGCTCTGATACGATTCACTCGTTTTTCTTCGTCAAAACCATACTTCTGTGGAACGAACTCCCTCTAGATATTAGAATCTCCACCAACAAAATTAGCTTCAAAACCAAGCTACGAAGCTTTTTACAGGAACAAGCAGTCTAGCTTAAACGTTAGTCGTCATTATTATGTATTTATTTAGTATGTATGTTTATGTATATATGTGTATATGTGTGAATTTATATGTATGGTTATTTATATGTAAGTACTTATTTATGTATTTATATGACTACATCGTATTTATATCTGTTCGTCTTTTTTTCCATCTAAGTTGTGCACCCTACCACTATCTATCCACAACAACCTATGGTTGACTGGTAGAGAATGCCAATGGCATTAAGTCCGCCTTTGTACACTTGTGCAATAAAAGTATAAATAAATAAATAAACCTGACACTGGTGTCGATTCTGGCAAGATTCTCTAAACCTAAACTTAAATTTGATAACAGTGTATCTTTGTCATTCTCTATACAGAATGAAAAGGAGAGACTGATGTTAAATTTAGTTTTAAGTTTAGAGAATCATGCCAGAATCGACACCAGTGTCACTTTTTGTTTGCACAGAAGACAGAGATAACATTAGATTAAAACCAAGACTAAATTTAGTGCGCGTTTTGGAATAATGGCTCAGTTACCCTTGGTCGTTTGCCCATATTCGTGTGCACGAATGACATAACTGGAATTCGGGTACCCGAAGCAATATTTACACTCGAATTCAATTGGCACTCGTATTCGGGCTAATAATCAAATGTAATCGCGCCATAAGGCACGGTTCCCAACTTAGGGTTTTTGCCCCCAGATTTAGGGGCTAGATGTGTTAAAACGGACTTTTTTAGGGGCTGGAATTTTTGGGGGTTCTTTTAGGGGCTTTTAACAAAACTTGCAATTAAATCGAAAAACAAAGCGTGTGTTTTCTTTCAGTTTTGTGCTTAGAATGGAATTCACACCACGATATGAAACGACTGAACTGACTGTGTGGCGGTTTATTTCCTAATGCTGTATGGATTAAAGTTCTTTTGCCTATCACTTTGCCTATCACCAATGGTTAAATAATAAAACAACAACATAACAATCATGTTCGTTCTTTCATTCGTTCTCGTCTCACGGCTCACCATTCAATTTTGTCATTCATTCAATAAAATAATTTACTGGAACTAAATAAGAAACATTTTAATTTATGAGCAACGAAAGAATTTAGGTAATAAGTAGGTACATATAAAATTCTATATTTAGGGGATTTTAGGGGAATTCAAAAAATACTTAGGGGAAATTTTTGGTAAGGGTTGGTAACACTGCCATAAGGGCGCTAAGGTTCGTTTGTACGCATGCACGCGTTGTTTCAAAATTATACTGTTTATTTTGTATACTTATGAGAAAACAGATATAGTGATAGGCTTTAACCAAACCTAAATTTAATCCACGTTTCGCTATAAATCGGTACAAGTTTATAATAAAAACATTTTTAAACGGTCAATTTAAATATTTACGTAGTAGTGTATCATACCTCTCACCAAAATGACGCAATGTGCTAAACGGTTATCGTCAATACATCGTCCATAATTATGTATCAGATAGTATGTTATGTTATTAAAAGATATTATAGTAATTAAATCACTCAAATCAATGTGTTGTAAAAACACAGACATATTGCAACAAGTAGTAGAAAACCGGCAGGCGACGTCTGAACAACTTTATGATGAAACTTATCAGTCAAGTTACAATACTTATAAAAAAAACGACGGGTTGCACTCCGGGAGTGCCGGCAGAAGTGAAAACTTGAATATTAACGTTGTGCGTTTTTGATATTTTGGAATGGTTAGGGAATAATTTTGCACGAATTTCTTTAATTATCAGTATAAAATATCGCTCAGAATTACTCATTTAAGCGCACCTAGCGACATCTATTGTAAAAAAATGCATTTTTTTCGCAATAAAGCTGCCACCTGGATGTCCTAGATA